CGACTTGCTAATTAACTCTCAACAGCTGAGTAGACTAATAGACCAATGCTAGACCTACAAGTGCAAGTGCATTCAAATGACTAATGGCGCAAATGGTTAGTGGCAGATAAACAGCCGGTGTTTTGGGTACATAGTTTATTTGAAACTAGAGAGTGGCATTTGTTTAGAAATCAAAGCAGAATCAAAATTAGAATTTAAGGATTCCTTTAAAATTGGAATTTTCTGACTTAGAACTGGTTCTTGATGCCCAACCCTAGTTATGGTTTGGCACTACATAGATAAAATTCAACTGAATTCAATTCAGGTTGTGCACCTTATTACCCAGGACTACACAACACTGTAAAGTCAGTGGCCATTGATTGCATCCCATCTCCGTTTGCATGTGTTCATACATACAGTAGCGTGTACATGCATATCACTGGAGAAAGTGGAAAATGTCAGTGAGAGCAGGGCCTCATGGCAGAGCAGTACATATGATTTATGGGCGAAATAAATGGGATCACTGTAGGCACGGTAACAGGATCCCTGTAGAAGGAGGGTGAGAAGGGAAGATTCTTTTGTGGTGGTAATGGGCTCCATGGTGTCGGGGGGTGCAGAGGGGCAGAATGTTGGTAAGCTGATGCTGAGAGAGCAAAGGTAGCAGTGCTGCCACTGTAAGAAGGCCACTTCTACTACAACGCACAAACAATTCAACAATCTGACCCTGTTTGTGAGAATGTGCACAAGTGCATTGTCTGATTTGCATTAAACAGAGTTTGACACTAACTGAAATAAGCAACTTTGGTAGCCAATATATACATCCACATCTGACTAGTAATTTAGAGAAATAAGATGTTGTCAGGTGTTCATTTTGAATATGGTGGTACATAAAAAACACAAAGGGCTGCATAAGTGGGTGTATGTTTCCATAATTACAGGTCAAAAAATGAAATGTGATCAAGGTTCAAATAAAAAAAGAGCTACTGCTTGGTCTAAATCACACTGAGTCACTACAGATGCATGTGTGCCTGTCCACACAGCACAAGTGGCAGTCAGCACAGGTAGCGTCGGCACAGTTTAAAGCCACATTTGGCTGCTTCCACCTGTGGTTGGTGGACCCGTGCATTGTACTGGAGCAATCACACACTAGCTCAAAACTTTCCTGTCCTAATTTCTTTGATTGTTTTAAAAATTTAAGTTTTTGTTTCACAGTTATGCCCCCAAATGGAAGTTACACCCCTTGCTTGTAGGTGAGGCCAAGAACTTCTTGATGTTTTTGATGATATACAACCTAACGAAACCATACCAGAGCAAACACACCAGTCCCATAACAATGGCACTCCCTGACAGCAGCGACCTCCCCCAGCAGGACCATGCACACGATATCAGAAAACTGCTCAGAAGCAGCTTGAGGAACATGACAGTAAGATGAAGGCATTGGCCCAACCGCCAATCTCCCCAGATCCCAACCCAGCTGAGCATCTGTGGGATTTGCAGGAGACAACCTGATCCACAGAGGCCCCACCCCAATACATACAGCACCTAAAGGATCTGCTGCCAACATGCTGATGCCAGACACCACACAATACCCTGAGTTCCCAGGTCCATGAGCTTTATCAGGAGCAAGAGGAGGACACACAAAAGTAGGCAGGTGGTTTTAATGTGGATCTGTTGATCAGTATACACAGTACACTCTGATGCCTAATTACACGCTTCAAGTGAGCAGTCCAAAATGTACCACCTGTTTTCAAACCATGAACTGAAATGACTAGTTGATTACGTGATTTGTTGAACAGCAGAAAAAAATTATTGTCAGCTATTTTGATAGATTGATGTTAATTTTTGAAAATAACAATTCCTTACAACCTCTCACATGAAACTGGTAATTTTCTTTCTTGGAAGCTAGTTACCTGTATATTTTTGGGGCATGAATGGACATGCAACAATATTTAGAGCCATTACCTTGAGATTTAGAGTTCTTCCCCACTCTGTGCCAGTAATTTTTACTAAGAACTGGGACTAATTGGTCACAGGAATTATTTGTTATACAAATAAAGCCAAGAGCTATTACAAGACATTGATGCTTCGATGTCTTGTTAAAATGCTTTTTCTGATCACTTGTTCATGTACAAAGTACAAATCTGAATTCTAAAAGTCTGATTAACTATCATGACTTCATCACACAGGTCAGACCTAATATGCTTGCAGTCTGCAAAATGACATGCAGTGCTGGGCTTAAAAAAACAAAACACACAAAGCACATTAACAGAACAGTGAAGACAGGAACAGCGAGGAAAAAGACTGAGCAGGACTGGATGAAAAATGGTGTGGGGTGAAAGAAACTGGAGTGAGATAGAGACCTAAAACGCTCCAGAAGCCTGTCACATGGGGCCTGAAGCAGCACAGCTCAGCACTCTTTCTCTCTGTGTTCTGTCCATTCCTGACATTTTTCTGCTTTATTAGATTATCTGGGCTACATGGCTGTCTGTGGGTGAATGCAAGCACGCCTGCACATGCACGCATGCACACGTCGATTCATTACAGCCCTAACTGCTTACTTAGGTGTATGCCCTCTTTAAATTAAACCAGAGATAACCAAGCACCTTAGAAAACACCGGCCCTTAACGTGGACAGGAAGGCTAAAACCAGTCATTGAGGAGGAAATTAAGAAACATTGTTTGCGAGTGTATTATCATGCATGTGTGAGTGGTCATAAGGTTGGTTTTTAACGGGCTCATCTATAGGGACTCTGCTTCACATCATTAGTAATTCAATTTGCTCTTTATTAGCAGCTCTTATCAGAGGCACAGACGGCTAAGAGCAGCTTTCCTCACTCCATCTTCCTCTGCACTCACCCCTGCTCCACCTTTTCTGTGTCTCCGATTCTGAATGCCTGTCTTTAATTAGAGACGCATTTGTTCTTGCTATAAGCTATTCCGTTTCTTCGGATGACATAAAAAAACATGAAAAGAAGATGAGGACGAAGAGAGGGGAGAAAAGCTTTAGGAGGTGTCAGGAAGCATACATAAAGTTGGGTTAAAAAATCCCAAAAAGAGAAGTGTACTGATAGCCACAGAGCCATGGATACGAATAAAGCCTAATGTTAATAGTGATGGCTTTTCTAATGTCTTCTGACTCCATTGAGTATGGGAGATTACACCAAGATGGGCATGAGCCGTGTAGGGTACGCAAAGAATGACCGGAGGGTTGGAGGGGCAAGTGGAGGGAGGGAGGGGGAGACAGAGAGGGAGTGAGGGGGGCTGTAAAAACAATGATTGCTTTCCATCAGGTTAGGCCTATATTCTACAGTTCGTTAAAACAATCCAATTTGCAAAAGGATAATTATGCATTAGCTCCTTTTTATCTACTGGAGGGAGAGTGGTGCCAGGGCTTGATAGCAGTGGCACTGCCTGCCTCCACCTCTGCAAATTACCCGCTATCGGCACTTGTTCGCCATCACGGCTGAATTGGGCAATCAATTAACCCCCACCCCCACCTCTATACACATCTCCCGTGACAGCAGGAAAAACAAAGCCTCTAGGTCTAGGAGGACATGGATGTGAGCTGCTGCCCTCTGCTGGAGATAGCTGTAATCGTTGCTGTTAGAGTAACAGCTGGAGGGCCAATTGCTTAACGGTTTTATACTAATTCCGCACTAGATACCAGTTATAGGCTGTCTATAAGTCCATAGTGTGCTCACACTGGAAAAATTTTAAGAAAAAAAAGGAAGTAAGGAAATCAGCATGCATTATTGAATGTGCTGTTGGCCTATAATATACGACCTATAATACCCACAAAATTAAATGGGTACAAACAATACATTTTGGATGGCTGTAAAAATAGATCAGAAAGATTTTGGGAAAAAATACTGTCAAAACCACAGGTTGACTGAACTCTCAGCACATTATTTTAACATATTGTTTTTGATCAAAATTGCAAAATACCATGATTTCTTAAAAACTAACTGTAGAACCAATTCACGAAGACATTTAGTACATAGAAAACTGTACACTACTAAAATGAGAAGCACTGAGGGGAGACACTGTAAATAAAGACACAAAACTAAATAAAACCATAAAAACTAATAAACTAATCAAGCAAAGAACCAAGGGAGAATCCAAAGACATTTTTTTGAAAGGCTGACTCATGCCCCTTTTGGACTTTTTTCTTTACTGAAAGCAAGACAGACAGAGTCTGCAACAGGTCAGATTAATAAGACTCACCAATACTGTAGCCAATCCAGGTTTTGACAAAACATTCACAGAAGCTGAGGTTTAGTTTGTTACTTCCAGTTGTTTGTAGGAGTCTTTCCTCTGAGTTTAATAAACACCTGCAGCATCACACAGCAGCAGGATTCAAATGAGCTCTCCAAAAGAGTTTCGCAAATTTACACATTTGGAAAAACAGCAGTAACTTCACTCATGATTCAAAATTTTAAATTATCCCTGACTTGGCGGCAGGACTGACTAGGATCTTATAGAAAGTCCCAAGTCGGTGTACTTCACCTCACACATCTGAGCTGTCATACACAGAGTCACAGTTTATCAGCTCTAGTTAAGTCATTTGTTACAAAGCAGCTGTCCTCAGGTTGAGTCCTGAGCTCCATCACAGCTGTTGGGATATTTCAATTTAACGGCTGGTAAAGTTAGATCGTCACACATTGACTAAGATTAGCGTTTAGGACATCATAAATAGACAAATGTATTTATGATTTGAACAGTTTATTAAAGCTTGTTATCAGTTTACACTAAGTCTTAGTTTTTTAGAGCATTATCCTGCATTATAAATCAACTGATGTACTGTCCACTTGCATGTATGATAACTATTGCATTGGTCATGCAACTGGAAGCATCAAAATAAAAATTAAAAAACCCAGTCACACCGATGGCAAGACTGTGTCATAAGCAAGTCACTAACAAAGTGTGTAAAATATTTCGTTAAGCATTTAGAGCAATTAGACAAACTCTTGGCAAAAACAGTGTATCTATTTTGTACTTTTATCTGTAGTGTGTGCTTCTTACTTGTCCTTGATAAGGTGGGAGAAAGACGCCTCAACTTGTGTCTACCAAAAGACACAAGTTCCCTGGAGGGTGTCCTCTTAACTCCCATGGGACTCCTGGTGAAGGTGTGTATCCGGCCCCGTTGGGAGTACTTTACAGTTGACAGGCTGCTCCCCCTCTCTGACCCACTGCCACTGCGGTCACAATGCAGGGGGCAAAGAGTACAAATCAGTAAGACATTGGGATTTACTATCATGGAAACAATAGAGAAAATGGAGGGGTTCAGTGCCAAAGTAGACCAAACCACAAAAAATCTAAAGTTGAATTTGATGTTTTTTTTGATCAGTGTTTATGTTCCACAAGTTCATGGCAAAGTGCTCCAACCAGCAGGCCACTAGTAATGTCACAATGCAACGTTGAAGTTTGGCCCATAATGGCTTTGGCATGAAAATTTAGTGCCAAGCTGGGCCAAGCCACAGGAATTGCTGACTATTATATCGCGGGCACAGGTAGTTGCATGTGTTTGCGATTCAAGATGCCGGACAGCACGACCTCAATCCCCGTGTAAACTCAACTTGTAGCTACGATAAGGTAAACTAAAAACTTAATTAACCACCGCCAAACATCTATTACTACGCCATGGTCTTCAAAAATATCTCTAGTTCCGTATGATGATCCATGCAAACTCTTCAATGCTGTTTAGCAAGACAAACCTTAAATTTCTTTTATTACTTTTTTTTCAAAAAGTAGAAAATGTGGTATAGCCTGCTTTGGCACTCAGCAAAAGGAAAGGCAAAATTCAAATTCAAATTAGTCATCACAAAGTAGCTGTCTCTATCTCTGGACAGTGTTGAAACATCTTTGGATGCATATGATGACTCCTTCAACAACCACGATTGTTTTTAACAACACCAAATTTTGACCTCATTTTTTTTGTAAAACTAGTAAATGTGGTTTGGCCCACTTTGGCTCTAACCCCCTCAAATGTATTTAAATCAATGTATAAACAAACAGCAGTCTAACATGGGACAGAAAGTACTTTGCTGCCACCTTCTGGTAATAGACTGAAAAGTGCATTCTAGGTGTCCGTCAGTGCAGAAACAGGTCTGGACGAAAGTACATCAGATCATCTGCATGTTGCAGTTACTTACCTGCTAGCAGACTTTCTGATGATTTTCATCCTGCTGCGGAGCTTGAATCCTCCAGGCGAAGACGACAAGGAGGCACGCTGAGGTAAAGTTGGGGAAACAACAAGCCCTGCTTTTATTCCTTTGTTGCTTTTCTCTGCAGTCCAGTGGAAGGCAGATCTACAACGGGCCACTGTGGCCCCTTCTGTCGCTACCATAGAGGTACTCTGACACCCAGCCTTCCAACAGTAACGGCTACTAAGTGGAGAACTGGTAGAGCAGCCTGCAATTCCCTTTTTCAATTTTGCAGAAGGAGAAGCACTTGGCCTAAGTCTCTTGGTGGCATCTCCCTTCTCCAGGACTCTCTGAGCAAGAGTCAAAGCTTTGGGAGATAGAGACTTTCGAGATGTCTTAGCTTGGGCTCCAGCAGAGGAGATCCATTTGTACTTTGAGGTCTTGTGGGCTACATTGACTGGGCTGAGCTTTCGAGGTACCTTTTTAGCTGGGATTCTCTTACTGACTGAGGGACTACCACTGGCAGCTCCAGCCTTTAAGACTGATGTTGGGGCAACAATCACAGCTTTACCTGCAATGGAGGAAATGTCCTGGCTTTTTACCCATGTGAACTTTGACTTTTTCAAAAAAGATGCCCTAATTTGGGCCTGGCTGTTCTGAGACGAGGGGTTAAGGGAAGGTGGTTTCAATACTCTTGACGGAGCAGAAAAAGCTGGTGTGGTATTTCCAGCTGTGAGAACTGCTGGAGTTGTGGTAGTAATACTCTGTTTCGTTGCAGTGGAGGTTTTGCTGGTCTGGGAAGGTTGAACCTGTACTTGGGAGCTGCTCTGCAAACTGGTTGAGGTGTTCACTGTGAGTGATGATGGCACGACTGAAGAATTAATAGTTTTTCCTGATAGGACTACATGTCTGTTTTCAGCCCCATGCTGAAATTCTTGAGAGTGTCTGTGTAGAATTTCACATTGCACACTAGTCCCTGCTGAACTTGAAGCTTGTTTTTCATTTTCATCCTGAGACACCACTGCACCAAGTTTTCCAAGAGTATTCGTGTTTTTGCTGTTTAAGTGTCCCTTTTTCTTCTGTTGAGCAACCTCTGATGATAAAGTGACATCCCCCTCTTTTCCTCTGCTGTGACTGGGCAGTGAGGTGCTGTGAGTTGTACACTGGGAAGTAGACTGGTGAACAGTGGAGGAGGAGGAGGAGGAGGAGGAGGAGGAGGAGGAGGTAGAAGCTGAAGGATGTCCAACAGAGGACTGCGGGCTCTTATTTTTCAGTGAGTATGTTTTCTTCCAACTTCCTCTGCTCTGAGGATAATATAGTGTTCCTGAAGAGCTGTGAGGATGGAAAACAGATGTGCTTTGACCTCTGCCTCGGGCTGATGTTGAAGCTTCTGGACGCCTCTGCTCAGTTCCTGTAAATGGTGCGTCACCGTGGATGCTCTTATGTTTATTGATGAGATCTGTGAATTGAAAAAATAGGCGTGATTTGGGTTTGTAATCATTTGCAGATTAACGGACAAACACAAGTAATTAAAAATCATATCAAGTTCAACCAACAAAACATATTTATTGCTTTCCTTTAGAGGTATTTAGTCATCTAAACAGTTCTAGTTTAGTCTAGATATTAAAGGCAGCTAGCTTGTGGTGATGAAAACATCAAAATATTCCATTTAAAAAAGCACGATAACTACATCTTTTTGCAGTTAGTGTCCCTGTTCCTCTGGATAAGCCAATCAAAATTCTGTCACCAGTTCTTTTCTGCAAAAAAACAACAACCCCTCAGTAAGTGAGGAGAGAGATCGTCACTACTTCCATGTAAGAGACAAGGACTCACTTTTGAATAAAGTTTATGCTGTGTAAATGTTGTGTTTTGGAATATATAGATAGTCAGAGTAACTGAGCCTCCACAATCAAAGGAGGTAAAACTTCATCCCGATAGAGGTAAATAAACTTACAGCACCCTCTACACAGCAAGTATAATTGGTTTCCACCTGAATTTGGGCTTTACCTCTTTAGAGGATGCATTGACCAACTTCAAGCATTTTTTTTCTTGTAATTCCTGTTATGTTTCGAATTCATCACTAACTAACTGCTGTCTATGAGCAAAAGTGACACTCTTTGACATTGGAGTTCTATTTTTGTGTCTTCTACAAGTATGTGATGTCTTGAAGCAAGAAATGAGCCTGTGTTTTTCACTCTCACCATATGAGGTAATATAATTCAGGAAAATGCTATTTCATCAGAAACCACTGTGGTGAATGTTGTTTTACCACAGGGGTAACTACAATTATCTCTGACATAAAGACTTGATGGATCAGGATCTTCTAACATGTCACAAGTCTGTGTAGTTGTCTTCATATCAGACAGGTGAGGTGTCGCACACAGAGTCACAGTTTACTACCTGCAGGTCATGATTTGATACATAGCAGCTGTCCTCAGGCTGAGTTCTGAGCTCCATCACAGCTGTCGGGATATTTTGATTTTATTTTTGGTAAAGTAGTAGTTAGATTATCATCACACATGGACAGATTTTTTAGGATTTAGGAAACCATAAATAAACTACAGTGTGACAGTTTCATACGTTTGCTATTAGTTTAGATTTAGTTTTTTCTTTATTAGTGCATTACAATGTACTACATATTACTTGATATTCTGCCAAATTTCACGTTTGACAAATACCCTGTGTGTAACTTGGCTTTCTCTATCACTGTGTTGGTTATGTCTAAATGAAGCAGTAATGTATTAACATAAATGTGACTCATGTCTGAGTAACAGACTTCTTTTACTTTAACAGACTGATTAAACAGTAATGTTATGTATACCATGCCTGAAAAGGACTTTAAATACATAAAATAAAACCTGAAACAAATAATATGATCAGGTCAACTGGAAGTGAAAAAGCAGCTACAGAAAGTACAGACCTGTCACTTTCAGACAAAAGTCTATCATTAAAAGCTATCATCAAAATTTTAGATTAACTGTGCCAAATTTGGTCCATGGTTGGTTCAAATGTAGGATCCTGCGGGACCTGAGAACCATATGTGCATGTAATTTTTTTAATGATGGATTGATGAAAGTCAATGAGTTTTGAAGCTTCTCTGGCAAATTGTGGTGGTACTTACTCAGACACTTGGTATTCTTTCTGGGTCACCAATGTGAGAATGACTATATCTTTGTGCCCTATAGATAAATAGCAGCATTTGCAAGCGAAGACATTTTTTTTTCTACAAACGTAGGCTATTTACCGTTATGGCTTGCAGTTAAACAATTAAACAAGAATATGCAGTTTGTTTTTCAACTGTGTTTGAACTATTAAAATATCAGAGGAATCCGGCCTATTCCAGCATAAACACCAAGGTAGTTGCTTATTAAAATGCGTTTATTTACTGACACTAACGCCTCTATTTAGACAGGTTACCAGGTACAGTGGTTTGTTTGGTGGAAAAGCTAACGGTTTAAGTTCGTTGTTGAAATATTTTAAAACGCGGCCTGACAGCCTACAAGCAGCTCTGAATTCAAAGAGCACAACACTTAAAATGTTTTCTAAGCCGCCAGTTACGATTACAGTTGTCGACATTTACCAAGAGAGACTTACTTTGTAAAAGTTCAATTTGCCTCTTCAGTGCTTCTCTCTCCTCCATGTTTACGACTGAAAACAGCTCGTCATCAAATAGCGACACAGAGAAGCGCTTAAGGATGACGTATTTTATACTGGCCAATCACAGTCACAAGAGCTTTCAGACGCGGAACCCACAGCGTTGACTTCAATAGGCTCGTTCGACATCTGTCAGACCTGCGCAGATTCGATCACCGGAGATCAACCCACAGTGCATGCTGGTTAGATTTCTGTCCGACTTGATCCCGACCTTCGCTGACGCAATGCAAAAGTAGGCAGCGATAACCGTGACAACAACACGGCTGCAGTTTCAGGAGCCAGACGCCGCAGTTGATCGCTAATGACTGCATGGCCTGCAGGGATGGGAAACGTCTGGTGCTCACCTGATCTAACAGCTGATTGGTTTAGATGTTGAATCAACAATAGGACGTTTAATAGAAACTGTTGATTTTAGTAGATTTACAGAGATTTCATTTTTTTTGTTGTTGTTGTTCTTTTGTTTTTTGTTTAGATATAATGATTAGAAGATCGATTTATACATGCGTGGTTGATGGTGATCATAATCAGCCAGAAAGGCTGAACACATTGAGATTGCACATCATAAACTGCCAACAATATGTAGATCTGGTATATTATCACTGGGCTCATTCTTTCAGTATTTAGCATCACCAACATTTCTGGTTAGGGATGTGACAATTGTTCAAATAATATCTGTACAAATGTTTCAGTTAGTGGAGGACAGCTTTGGTTTCCTGATTTATTTACAGTGCTGAACTAATCTGATGCAGATTTACAGGAGAATTCATAAAAATGGAGATTGAACCATGAACAGAGATCATAGATCACCTGTATAACATTTTTAAAGGCTGCCCTGTGTACAAACTCACATATTATTGAAGTACCTTTTAATAAATTACTTTGTTTCTGTAAGTTCCCATACACACTGAAGGATGCTGAAGACTGTCTTGAATGTAGACCATTAGTGCTGCTCCCTCCTTCTGCCACCTGCTCCCATTTACTTATCAGTTCACCTCTGTATTGCAGGGGTCATTGCAAAAATCCCAATAATAAAGATCTCTCAAAACCTCAATGATCTGCTTGCATGATGCCACTGGAGGTAAATAAGAAAGTACACAATATGTATCTATTTGAAATGTGAGTGAATAAGTGATACTTTGAATATAAAAGTGCTAGTCTTATTTTTGGATAGTAGTTTAGCGTTGTTTATTCAGAGAAATTCTAATTTCAAAGCCTACAACTGAAGCAGTCTTACAATGAAGCAGACAATACTGAACCATCTTCAGCTACAACAAGCTGAAGAGGTGGGCTGCATACAAGACGATAATCACTTATCCAAATGTTACACAGGGTACAAGTAGGGGAGAACCCAAGAGGTGGCCGCGGCTGTCTCAGACTAAAGTCTGGCCACCCTCACACAACCAGCAGTGAGGCCTGTTAGAGGGCTACACATATGCTCATTGATTTGGAGTTACATCTTAATACTCATGTTATTTTAAGTTGTGATATCAACTATTAAAAAGGCATAACTTGGAACAACCATTCCAGATATTTATTTTAAATCAACTGAGGGTTTCATAAAAAAACTTATTAGATATTAGTCCTCATGGCATTCTTTTAAATGTCAGCCATCCTTGCATCGACAAATTATAAGTACAACAATCGTTTATTTGACCCACATTGATTTACCATGAAGAAGAAATTACATTAAGGTGACCTCACTTATACATATACTTTGGCTCCGTCGCTGGGTACAAGGAGACTAAAAGAGTTTTTCAGCGAAGCAGAGTTCGTCTTCTCATGTTTTATTCAGATAAAGCTGCTGCTTGCCTGTCAGACAGTACTGAGGGCTGCACCTTCCACCATTGAACCAGCCGAGCTGACAGCCGAACAGCGTCACTTTGAAAACCTTCCTGGATTTGTGCTTCATAACATTTTAAACTGTCTCCGGAAAGGACACTGAAAAAAAAAAGTGTGGTTTAAAAACTTTGCGATAAACTGTCATTTTAACGAGAAGAGTGTTACACCTGTGACACCGCTGTGAAATGTGAAATGAAACGAAAGGGGAAGTGAAACTTAACGCAGCTGGTTGGTCGTCAAGCGAAAAGAGTGAAGACAACAGAAAGAAGAATCTAAAGTTCCTTAGTAAGTGAAGGTAAAGTTAATTAACAATGACTTTGTCCCAGATACTTGTTGGAGAAAGTAAGACAAACACTGTGAACTATTCTAGACTGAAGTTATTCAAATACCGTTTAGGCTTAACAATGTTAGTTGTGATTTTAGGTTGACGATGTTAACTTTGTAGCTAGTTAGCGAGCTAGCTTCAGTGTCGGTTGCCGTATTTGTAACAAGATTATTGTTGTTGTTTTAACACTCGTGTATCCGCACTGTGTGTATTCCTGTACAGTACCTCCTGGCATCAGCAACATGGCATCAATTACCTACCACTACTTCATCATAACTAAAAAGCCTCAATACCCTCAATACTCTCAACACATCAACGCAGGACAAATATGTTACATGTCTGACTACAAGCTCAAATCACAACTCAAAATATCTCCCTCTCCCATAAATTTGCGTGTCTTCATCATGGGTTCACGTTCGCAGTTAGATTATGACCTAGAGTTCAGCAGTATAAAGGAGCTCAGTGCAAAGGAAGCTGAACTGCTGCTGGCCCTGGCTGAAGACACCGAAAGGCTGAAATGGTTTGAAGAGAGAGACGCTCTCCAAACAGCACTGGGACTCAGCGTGGGCACCGAGGTCACTGTGGAGGAAGACGGAAAAAAGCTGAGAGGCACCATTCGCTATATTGGAGGCATGGGAGAGCTAATCTGTCCCCCTGGCATAAAAGGAACATTCTTTGGAATTGAACTACAGGTACGACTTCAAAGTGTTGGTTCAGTTAAAACAAACAAACACACACACATACACACACACACACACACACACACAACCAAAGCCATCTCAGCCTTATCATTCTCCATGCGGATGGATTTGAACTTCAAGTGTAAGGGCTCCCACTCTGAAAGTAACAAGTGCACAAGAGCACTCGAGGACTGTCTGATGCTTTTATGTGCATATCTGCAGACTTTTACTTTTTATTTTCAAGTAGGTCTGTCAGTTGTTTTTTTTAATAAATCAATAAGTTGTTCAGTCTATAAAATGTCAGCATATGGTGAAACATGCCTATCAGTGTTTCCCAAAGCCCAAGATGCAAAGTTAATTTAGGGTACTGTCATCAAGGAGAAAGAAACCAGAAAATATTCAGGTTTAAGAATCTACAATTTTGTTTTTGTTTTTTCTGAAAAATTACAAAGTGATTAATTGATTATCAAAATAGTTAAATGTTCCATTTTACATCACTTAGCAGTTAAAAAAATTACTTGATTAATTGTTACAGCTCTACTACCAATTGCAATATTTTAAGTTTTTTTTTAAATCACTCAAAACAGGTAATCAGTGATCAAAATACCAGTGGATTCATTTAATAACTGGTAGCTTTAGTCACTTAATTGTTGCAGCTCTACTGCATAAAATATTGGCAACTGTTATCCTGTATTTCTTTTTCTACTGGGTCATAATTAAAACATTTAGAGGCCATGTACAAACTGATACATGGGTCTGTTAACATTTAAATACAATGGGGTCAGACCTAATAGAATGTGAGTTTTTCCGTGGCTTGCTGGACTGACTGTTTTTGTGTATTAGCAGTTGTGCATAATCCCCATAGACCCTGTGGCTGTGAGCAGTTTTCATTAAAACTTCTTGCACCCATCAAGAGACATTTGTGATACTAGTCTATCAAGAATAAATATTGTCCCCATTACTCCAAACTATGGGAGAAATGGGTAGAAACTAGTGCAGGGAAATGGCACTCCGAGAAAACACTGTATTTTACACCAAATTGAAGGCACAGAAGTTTTGAGCACCACAACAACATTCCATTTACCTGTGTTATACTAAGGTGGCAACACGTCTTAGAAGTGGATATTTCAAATGTCAGTAAAGGAAGAAAATATTATCTGCACGCCTAGTGCCACTATAGATAAAATAGGTAAACTGGCCTTTTATGTGTTTTATAACCTAATTTAAAATTCTTAGTAGTTTGCTTCCCTGATGGATTTATTGAACTGATGAAGGATATGTGTAAGATTATTTCACATGTGCTTCTGTGCTTCTGATTTTTTCCAGGGAGCAGACAGAAAGAAGGGGAAAACTGACGGGACCTTTAGGTTTGAGAAGCTTTTCTCCTGTGACAAAAACTGTGGCATTTTTGCCCCATTCTCCAGAGTCAGGCCTTTGGTCCCCATCCCCTTGGCACCATCTCATCCTGACCCCTCCCCAAAGCTACAACCAGAAGAGCTAATTCCAGGGGATAGAGTTACATACTTCATCAATGATACATGTCGCCATGGAATGGTGGTGGATGTCCAGGAAAAGGATGGACAACATATTGTTCAGATCTCCACAGTTAGTAATCTTTCTTTCTTTCTTTCTTTCTTTCTTTCTTTCTTTCTTTCTTTCTTTCTTTCTTTCTTTCTTTCTTTCTTTCTTATGTATTTATTTATTTTTCAGTTGTCGATCATAGATGTGACATGAAAATAATCAAGCTGCAATTGAAGGGCACAGTCTAAGCTTTAATTTAAGGGTATGGACAAAAATACATTTAACATTTAAGAACCCCATCCATTTTTATACCCAGTCCTCTGTTATTAGGGACTCAATTGTAATTGGACAAATTAACATAATTGTAAATAATATAATTAATGATCATCTTTAATACTTTGCCAATAATCTTTAGGCGGGAATTACTACCTGAGGTCTGGAAGTCACTAAAGAACTGGTCCTCCTTTGTAATCTTTTTCTTAGACCTTTAGTTATTTCTTTTTCTGATTTTATTTGTTCATGCATCTGTCTGCCCTCCATTTTGTCCTCAGCAAGTGAAATACATGCTCCACTGGGTTTAGCTGACTGACTCAGACATTGCTGAATTTTCCACTTTTTACCTTGAAAAATTCCTGGTTTTCTTTTGCAGTATAATTTGGTTTATTGTTCAGCTGTGGTGTGAAGAACTGTGCAATTAGCTTTGCCTTATTTGACTAAATTTGAGCATAAGTAAATTAAGTAAATTAAGTAAATCTTAATTTGCTTTATCCTGCCTGCTTCTGTGTTCTGGGATGTCAGTTATGTGACACGGAGCCTCGCAGTGCCCATTTAATCACACTGTCTTTACGTGTTTTTACAGATAATGTGTACTTTGGATGATGAGCTGTTCCAAGCCTTTACCATACTTTTTATTCCCTTCATGCTGGTGCAGGTTAAACTTAGCTTCATCTTTCCAAAGTATGCTGTTACAGACCTGTACAGGCTTTTTAATATGGTTTGTGGCAAAGTCTATTCTGGCCTTTCTATTCTTGAAGCTTAGGCATGAAAGCTTTTCACCTTGTGGTCAATTCTCTGTATATGTTCTCATTAAGTCTTTGCATTCTAGCAAACTCAGATAAATATGCCTTCTTCCTGGAGAGTATTCTGCACTTTGCTGGATGCTGTGAAGGATTTTTTCTTTACAGTAGAAATGATCCTCCAATCATCAATCAAGGATGTCTTCTGTGGCCTTTTCATCTTGCTGAGCTCTGTTCTGTTTTTCTCAGAATGTATCAAACCGTTGTTGTGTTCGCTACTAATGGCCCCACTGTCTTCCTGATGTATTTGCTGGGTTTGCTTGGAATTCACATCAGACCTTTTACCTGCTTTGATGAAGAAATAATGAGAGATTCGGCTACACCTCTCGATAAAACGGCTTTTAAATCAATGTCGAATTACTTATGTTCCTCAGATGTGAATTTGAATACCCTCAAATTAAAGCGAAGAGTCTACCCTTAAAACCCACATTCATTATATACCTATAACTTGAATCACTTTTTAAAAATACTCATACCTACACTGCCAGTTTTTTGAGCTGTAAGCCACAGTGTTGTTGCCATTTTCTGTAGCTCCTGCTCACCCTTAAGTTCCCTGCTACAACCAAATGCTCATATTTAAATACAAATTTTCAACAACCTTTAAGCACAGCGTTGCCAGTTTACATGACATTCACAGTTTTTTCTTTGGCACTTTCAGGACACAGATGAAACTGGGAAGACAGGGGGTGAAGTTAAAGTTCCACTAGACCAGGTGGCTAAGGGAGAGGTGCCTGCAGGTTTGAGCAACTCTTTACATGACGGTGTGTAATTTTGTTTGTTACATTCGTAATACATCTTACCCAAATGTATTCTTCATTGCAGAGCCAGAGAGCATGGACGTCGATATGCCCCTGGTGCTGGCAGACACTGATGATCCGTGTATGGGTCTGAGTTTGAACTCTGTGGTAGAGGTGACCTTGGGTGAAGGCAATTCATATGGAATTATCCGCTGGATGGGCACTCTGCCTAACCGAAAGGAAACCATGGTCGGACTAGAGCTGGTAATTTTTGTACTGATACACTATAGAAGAGAAGTGTAATATCACTTAAGTGACAAATGATTCAAAATTGAGTCAACGCTGAATAATTTAATTTTTCCTAAGTCTAACAGTAGTGTATTTTCTCTTACAAACAATCAAAATCAAATACTTTACAGAGACTGTATTGAATAATATACAAACTCGGTCCGACAAAGATTAATACACTTGTGATCACTGACACACAAGTTAGAAAACATGATTGTTGAAAATAAACTGAGTACAATTATGTTTTCCAATTAGTCTAACTGTATGAACATGATTAGAAAATTACTTATATGTATTACCAAACAAAAATAATACAGAAAGACCAGTGACCAACTAAAAAGAAATCAGAAGGTATAGAATGAGCCATAGTACCACTATTCTACTATATAAAAACAGACAGGTCACTGTTTCACAGTTAGCAAAGGGAGCTGGGAGCACATTCTGGTCTGATGAGCTAAAGACAAAGAAGAAAAATTTGTTTGCTGTGCTGGGGTCCAACATGTCTGACATAACCCTGGCCAGAACTATCGCAATTAATGCCTAGCCCTGACAATACAACACAGAAATGCAAGAGTGATGTTATGGGGCTGCATGAGTGCAGAAGGTGTTGGAGAGATGATATTTATGGGTGCACCATAAATGCCTGTCGATATACCAAAATGCTGGCTAAGAAGATGACTCCTGCTCTGCAGAATTTGTGAGACTTTATTTAAAATATACTAGATATATACAATTTTTGTTTTTTTTAATTTTACTTTTGAGCAAATAGAAGTGAAGCAATTATTGAAAGGTAATACAATGTAGAATCATTTTACATTTAAGTGATGTTGTACAGTTGTATAGTGATATAATGCAAATAATATGGTGCAGATTCAAGACTATGAAGTGCCTTGCCACAATTCTGCAATATTCATCACAAACTAATTTGTGTAGTTTTGCAAATATGGTTTGACCCTATGTAAAAACATTTGCACTATATCTGCATGAGTGAGAGGCAACTGAATTCCTCTGAAATTATACTGTTAAGGGGTTCTCTGGTTAAATTTCGGTCCTCAGTCTAATCAGTCTGTATTTCCACCTGCAGGAAGAAGACAAAGGAGTGAGTGATGGTACTTTTAAAAATGAGCGTTATTTCATATGTCCTTCCAAAAGAGCTCTGTTTGTGAAGCTGAGTTCCTGCCGTCCTGACTCACGCTTTCAGAGCATGTCAGCCAATCACATGGACAAGATGGCAGTACTGGAAGACAAAGGTTTGTACAGGATTGACCAGCTAACTTCTGAGCAGTCTTGAGAAACTCCTTGTTCAGAAGGGATTGTTTTTCCTGAAAACAGTGTATTTGTGAAGAGAAGGCAACTTTGGTCAGGGACATAATTAGTGCCCCCTTGTGGGTGTAGTGGTTCTGTTGTCAGCATGGCTTCCTGCCCACTTATTTGAAAATACTTTTTTATTTTTTCCTCAGTTATTATTTTAAAAGGGAAGAAAAGAGACATTGTATGTACAGTAAACATATTGTTTTTAGAAGTATTGTTAGCTGCATACATATTGTACATACAATTCTACTGCCTATTGTTTAATGTGTTATGTTGTGTGATATGATATTTCTGTGTGTACATACATTACAATTTATCGGTTTGTGTTTTACTTCAGAGGGAGAGACAGAACACAGCACAGGAACACCAGAGACTGTTCTTCCTCTCAGCACAGAGCAGGTTAACCAGTTTCTGCTTGGACGAATGAAGGGCATTCAAGGGCACTGTAACTCGTGCTACATGGACTCTGCCCTCTTCAGGTCAGGACGATGAACATGTGATGATAAATAATATCCCTTCTTCTCATTTTTAAGTTTGTACATCCTTCCTTTTGTCGCTGCCTCTCCTCTTGCCGTAGTCCCTCTAATCAGAGATGTGAGTGGAGGAGTTGAGAAAGAGGCACGAGGAGAGAGGACAGCATTTAACAAAACGAGACATCTTTACCTCAGATCTGTTGTTCTTAGACAGTGGCAATTAAAATGACATGTGCCATAGCTGTAACATCTGTGCATTGTTTTCTTACAACCTACCGCTGTATTTTATGATCTCCGGGTGGACACCAAGAGAAAATACATGCAAGCACAGGGACAACACATAAACTACACAGAGAAATAGAATCAAACCCTGGACCATCTACCTGCAACACTGCTAACCACCAGAGTATATTGCGATTAAGAGATAGTTATTATATAGACACAGTTGTCAGTCCTGTTCCCACCATGGTATATATATTCCAGCTGTATGTTCAAAACATACATTCTTGTGAGAAAAAAAATCCAGTTTTAAACTCCCATCATGTTGGAGTGCATATTGTAGTTTTTCATGTCAAATTTATGTTTCTTTCTTTGCTTTCAGTTTGTTTACTTGCTCCTCTGTGTTGGACTCCATGCTGTTCAAATCAACAGCACCTCAGGATGCCCCAATCCAGAAAACTCTGCTCCATGATATTGTCAACCCCCTCCGCAGGTGTGTGCTTCGAAATATTTGTGTGATGCAAAACATGTGTTAAGGATGGACAATATATAAGTTTATAATTTTATCTTAATAAAACCATGATAATGAAAAATAATTTATATATACATATATAAACAATAATTTTTAAAAATAGTTTTCTTTTGAATTGCCTATTTTAATATAGACCAGCAGAAAAAAGATTGACATTGAATCTAACCACTTAAGACATTTTATGTCACAGCAGCATGAACACACAAATAAATACATTTACATACATAAATAAATAAGGATAAAGCAAATATCTTACCTTAATAAACATTAAATAAAGAAAGCAAGTCAGACACTAATGCACAGAAGGTGACTGGGATGACTTGCATGGAGACCAAGAGGAGAACAACAGAAGGCGAGGGTCTCCCTTATCAAGTGATATGCTACGCTGCATGCTTGGGATTTGTCCGTGGAACTGAACTTTGCATTTTCACAAAGTACTTTCATGGTGATTTGTATTTCATGCATTTAAGTGAAAACATTTTTTTGAACACTTTTCTTGTGGCTGTTGATGAAGAGTCTAACAGAGGCACATGTCATTATTTTATCACTCAGGCTAGGCTGTGTTGTGTGTTGTGTTTTGTTGTCTGTGTTGTTTGCAGTAAGGGCTTTGTGGAGGGACGGCACATCATGAAGCTCCGGCAGCAGCTGCAGAAACATGGCTATAGTCACTCTTTCACCACAGATGAGAAGGGTCAGGCGACTCTGGAAGCTTTAATACAAATTACTTGCTTGTTTGGTTTAAAGTGAACATTCATTGTAAAGTTTATTTTTCAGATCCAGAGGAGTTCCTTATTGTCATCATGCACCACATTCTTGCCCTGGACCCTCTGTTGAAACTGTACGTTTAGTTGCTGTTCAATATTCCTCACCAATATATAGCTTGAATTATTTGGCACTACCTTATGAAATAGACTTAGTCTTTTTTTTTGTCTTGTTTTTTCTCATTTAGTTCAGCTGGTGGTAAAGTGCAGGAGAGTTACTGCTATCAGATCTTCCTGGACCAGAATCACAGCCTGGTTCTGCCCACTGTCCAGCAGCTACTGGAACATTCCTTCCACAGTGCAGGATTAAAGCTGGCAGAGGTGAGATCCCTTTGTTTTTTTAGTCAAAAAACTGCAGAAGAGTACTTTTACTTTTGTTATTTTATGTAACAGTTAGCAGTGATGTGATGCTTCACAAACACTGCAATCAAAACAATTATAACAATTCCTGATCTGTGATTATCGATGTTCCACAGCAGTGCAGGTGGTAAGCTTACTAGTTGGTTTTGAAAAAAATACGTTATGATTTGTTATAATAATGTGAAACTATCTTTGACACTTTGATATTTTAGTAAAAAAATAAAATAACATAAATAAATGATTTTTCTGTAGCGATCAATCCAGCATTTTTTTCATTCAACTTTTATTGATCTAATACCTTTCCTTTCTATGGTTAATTTTTCAGCAGATGGCAGTGTTGGATAGTTTTTTTCCGGTAGAACTCTGATCATTTTAGTGGTGTCTGTGTTGTGGGATCTTCTTATTTTTTTTGTCTTGAACTTGCAGGTGCCATCCTGCCTCATCCTCCAGATGCCTCGTTTTGGGAAGAAATTTAAGATGTTTGACAAAATTATTCCCTCTCTGGAGGTGGACATCACTGACCTCCTCTCCGAAGGTACTGTTAACCACACATATCCTTTTTAAGCACACATGTACCTCCAGGATTTCACTCATTAAATATATCACGTAATGTATGTTTCAGGTCCTCAGTCGTGCATGCTATGTGGAAATGTGGCTGAGCAAGAATGCACTGACTGTTTTAAAGATCCTGTTTTCAGCCCGACGGGATTCAAAGTCTTCTGCAAGACATGTTCAACACAGGTTTGTGGTATTATCTGGACACCTGAGTCATTTTGTCAGTGGTGGCTTTTCTCAATGGCTTCTTGAGCATAGAGAGAATAGACTGAAATCACTTTTCCCATGTGATGTATCCCACCTCACCACCACTTCACCAGCTTTTGCTGCTATTAGTACGTAGAGTTGAGACACAAGAAGGATTTATTTTTTTAAAGAATAAAATCAGAATCAAGAGTAGGCTACACCGCAAATCAGTCAGTGGTCTTTCACTGCTTAAATGTGGACAGAAGTTGGGTTTGCCGACATGTATAATGTATGAATTTGAGTATAGATACTCATCATATCATATTTTAAGGCTGGATTAGTTTGATCAAAATCACCAGTACTTCAAAAGAATATTCTACCTCGCCCCCGGAAACAAATATGAAATTAGTCAGATTTTTTTCATACTTTATTTCAAAAACTGTGTATTTGGTAAGAAATGTAGCAGAGTAGCAGGGTGGTGCAGTTGGTAGCACTGTTGCCTCGCAGCAAGAA